CGTGTTTCAGCTTGATAAGAACGTCCATCATACATCGAAACATGGTAAAGATTGGTTCCGGAAGTTAAAATTCAGGGTTTTATAATATCACAATTATCAGATTGTTACCCTATAAAAAATCTTTGGAGTATTTTAGATAGAAAAATCAAAAGAGATTCACAAACTAACAAATGTAATTTTTTCCCAAATGTTCACGATATATTCAAGGATAAAATAGAACGTATTATTAAATAATAACAAGTCAAAAAGCTAAAGTTAAGTTCGGCCTGGGCGAATATTTATACCCTCAGCCGTATGGCTAACGAGGGTGTACACTCTTTGATACAGTGAAAACGTGCTTCATCGAAATATTTGTTCTAGACCCCATGTTTTATTGGACCAAATCCGTTTCAGAAAATGTTGTTTTCATCCAAACTTTGCCTATCTTATTATTTCTTCTAAACTTAGTTCAAGTTCGAAGATGGTGAATATCGGCCCACTCCTAGACCTAGGTCTAAATCCGAGCTATAGTTCATAATAGTTCATTATCGAACCTAACGTTCTAGTTTTTTTTATCTCGATATCCTCCGCAGGTGAAATGATTACCAAAGAGTCTTAGAACCAAACCCAAAACGCGAAACAAATCAGATAACTATTTTAATATAAAAAATGGGGTAATATGGGAACTACGCCAAAAAGAGGGCGAATATTATTAATTTTTGGTAGGGAGATTTATTACCATATACGCCTATAAGATACCAAATTACAGCGAATTCGGTTGAAAAACGCGCTGGGGGCTACCCGAAAAAATTGACCTATATTCATAATTTTTTGTGGATACTTTTAGTACCAATAAGAATCCAATGTACCAAATTTTAGCGAATTCGGCTGAAAACGCGCTCAAGAACCCCAAAATACCGAAAATTGGGGAGTACCCTTATATGGGAGCTATGCCTAAACGTGGACCGATATATCCCATCTTCGAACTTAACCTGCCTGCAGACAAAAGACAAACCTATGCAGAATGTCAGCATCCTATCTCAATTCCTTCGGAAAATAGCGTGATTACAACAGACGGACGGACATGGCTAGATCATCTTAGAATTTTACCCTGATCAAGAATATATATACTTTATAGGGTCGGAAATTAATATTTCGATGAGTTACAAACGGAATGACAAAATTAATATACCCTCCATACTATGGTGGAGGGTATAAAAAATAATGGTTATGCTGTCGATTACTAGAAAAATGTAGAAAATAACCGTCTGGTGCTAGGGTATTTCAATATACATCGTGAATTATGGCATTCCGTCTAGAGGGGTACGTTTTGAGGACATAACCACCAGGATAAGGTTTCAGATCACCTCCCTACGATGGAAGTGAACAGGTTAGTCGGCGAGCACAAGCGGAAAAAGTGGCTAGAAAATCTGATGTTTTGTGACATCATTACAGGGGTATGTTGTGGGGTCGCTCTCGAACCCAGGAAGGAAGTACGATTAAAGGCCTTTACGTTGAAGAATGTTGCAAGTGTCATCAGAAGCGCAAAATCATCCAAGGCACTTGGTACAGATGGAATCTCCATGGTGCTGTTGAAACAGCTTGATGAGTCAGTAGTAGAGTACCTGACTAAAGTTCTAAGCTTATCGTTAGCAACACTAATAGTTACCGATGCCTGGGAAATGGCAGGGCGGTCCCGCTAGAGATGCCTGTCAACGGTGAACCAAACAGGCCGATAAGACACTTGAGGCATTGCTACTACTTAGCATTCGTGAATGTTACACAGTAGGTAATCATAAACATGGATTTCGGAAGCAGCACAGCACAACAACAACTTTGTCCGTCATTTCCACACATATAACGAAAGGACTCAACTAGAACAGGCCGTGTAATAGGACTGTTAAACAGGGAGTTCCCCAAGGACGGAACCTTCCTGAAATTTCACGCCCACCGCATGATAACGTATGTGAATGATTGTACGGTTATGACATCAGGACCAAAATTGATGGCATTTAATTTTTTTTCCGGGCCAGGAATGTGGAAATATCCACCACTAAGTCAGCGGCCACACTGTTTAACATATGGACAACGGAGATGCGGCTACCTTTGAATGTAGGCATACCACCTAGGCATACTAGGAAGGATCTTCATGGAGCCTCTATATCAACAGGGCGGTTAGGAAATAATTCAAGAATATAGAGTGAATACAATCCTCGGAGATAACCCGCCTTGGTATTGGCACAACTGAGATCTGTATGGTGTAGCCGCCTCAAGTTGTATTGGGCACGTATTGATGGCATCGTGAACAAAATCTGCCCGGCATGTGGTAATGTACCACATGACACCTTACATCTCTTCAAGTGCCCAATCAAATCCAATCATCTAACCCATCTTCACTTTGTACACAACTGATACAGGTCACAGACTTTTTAAAGTTGGAGTTAGAATCAGAAAGAGATTAGGGGAACCCCCATTCTCGATTTTTTATTTTTATGATTTTAAATGGGCTGGTAAATGAATACCAATGCTTGTTAAGGTTTGTAAATTTGCACATATATATTTGAAGATTTAAAAAGGAAGAAAAATAATTTACAAAAATTTTTTGTTGTTGTTTTTTATGATCAAAGAAAAGTCCTTATTTTTGATGGCGGGCATAATAACTCCTCAATGGAACATCGGAATCCGAAAATGTCAACGGTGTAAGAAAGAGTACATGTCTGGCTCTCGTATGAACTAGGATTATTGCACAACAATTAACAAAATGACGGAACTTTGAAATTTTTTTTTGGAAAAATCGCCTATTTTTGACCACAAACTAATTTAAAAAATAAGGAAGATCTTCACCAATTGGCTTTATCCTAGTTCATACGAGAGCTATACACTCCCAGAGAAACGTGTCAAAATTTGGAACCGATTGGATTATTAGTTTATGAGTTATCGTGCCCGCCATTCGTAAAACACTGCTTCGAGAAAAATGCGTTTAAAGTTTGAGAATCACTCTTGCCGTCACTTCATGCTGACACAATAAATCGGCTATATCTTCAAGAGTTCTTGAGAACTCTTGAAATTTTGTAGGAACATTTTAGAATCAGAGTAGATTCGAATTAAATAAAAAATTGACACCGAGAAAATACAAAACAGTATAATACCAGACGCAGGCAGACATGCTCATATCGACTTTGAATTTTAGACTGATATCTTTGCTAGTTGCAAGCCATTTTCGATTTTGATAGAATATATCTCTACTATCGAACTATCGAACACACAAGAATTACATCGTAATTGTTGTATATGGTGACGTATTCTCTCGCCAAATTAATAAGATCGTATTTTTAAGAATGCATCGAACATCGTTCCATTGTTTGGTGCCATAAATAGATAATTGCGGTAGATGTTTCACTAAAATCACTTTAAGATAATCGGTGATGTGGCGGTTGTAAATTGTTACCGACAGTTGTCGATTGTTAAAATTCGCATTTTAAATGAAGTCTGTTTTTATTTAGCTGTAATACAAAATTCAATACCTCCAAATCCTCAGCTGTTTCTATTAATTGAAAGATTGCATTTAATGAATGTTGATGTTTTTTCTCTAAAAAAAAACAGATTTAATTTATGGCCGTTTTTTGTGTTGAACGATTTTCTATGAAAAAGTCATGAAAATGTAAATTACAAAAACAAAACAGTGAAACAATAACAATGTAACGGGAATAGTTTAACAGAAAAATATTTTCCCATATATTATTGATGGTGCATGGCGGATTTTTGCTATGTTAAAAAAGAAACAAGGGGGGAGACACCACCAACCGCCGAGGAAATAATTCAATTATTTATGAGCTGGAAATTACACTAAAGGTCATAAATTTTGTTAGATTATCTAGACTTGTCACTTTTGGTCAGGGTTTTTATTGAAGTTAATCTCGAAAAAATCGGATTTTATTATTCTGTAGTTATATTCTACGCTAGTGTAACAAATTGATGGCCTATAAAAGTGTATCGGGTTATAATAATCAATATTGATTTAAAGGGAACATGTTCCTCTATCTACATTAATGAAATATATGATCGATGGCTTTGATATATCGATATTGTTCTGAAAAATATTTCTTACCCTCAAAGAACTCCTATGTAAAACTACAGGAACCCGAAGCAATAATGAAAATTCGACAAAATACAGGACGTTTCAAGGGTCACGAACATGATTGCAGAAATTTTTGATATAAGTCCATGTTTAGAAATAGCCCCCCCATATAAAGAAGCTCGCGATCCATTCTCGGTACTTTAAAGGTTTTAGCTGTCGGTAATTTGGAAAGAATAACTAATTAAATTCCTGAAATTTTGTCAATATGGGTTTATGTTTTTACGTAGTTCCCATGCAAAGGCACTGCATAATTTTCGGTACGTTGAAGTTCTAGCCCAGTTTTCCAACCTGATTTTAATTTGGTACTTCATTTTCCCAAATAAATTACCCCTCCAGAAGACAATTTATTAATTTTATAATTAAATATTTGTGTTTTGTTTCCTTTCATTTCTAGGCAGCTCTGTTCCCACCGATGAAGGCTCCAATGATATTGAATCCAGTCCGGATGATGATCGCAGTTTTGCCTGCTCCGATTTTATTCACATGAAAAAGACACACGATCCAGATCGAAAAAGGTTTGATAGCAACCAACAAAATTTATTTCCATTGGTATATTATTTGTTTTTGTCCTACCAACAGCACCGATGATGAAGGCCACTCCGATCATGATTATCAAAAAAATCCAACAATACAATGTATGGACAAAGTTGAGGCAAAAGAAAGAATAATGGCAAGGCGTTATCGCATTAAGATGATTAAACGCGTTGGTCTAATGATTTTCTGGTTATTTTCGGCCATCGTGTTTATGGTTTTTGAGGAGAAACATTTGCTGGAGAAGACATTGGAAGTGCCAGCTTATAGAGAGAAGAGTAAGTTTTAAGAAATTTAGTGGTTTTGTTGAAATTGTAGAGTTTTACAAATATGTGTAATTTTATTATTGCAGATTTTTTGCTACTTAACAAACCCACCGGTGATTTTAAACTCACAATTGCAGGACATTTCAATGAATCCATTTACAATTCAAATGAAACGGAAAATATTTTAACAATCCAACCTCAAATATCGTATTTCAATAGTGAAACGAACTTAAGCGATTTTAAGGTAAGACAAATGTAGGACATTATACTAATTTTGAATCTTTCAAAATTGTTATCCAAAACAAACATACCTACAAAATAAAAACTGAGATTTTAGAAAAAATATATATAAAAATTATATAGCCGTATAAAGTAGTTTGACTTATAGTTTTTAAAGAGATTACAAATCCTCTTGGCATAAAATTTTCAATTTACACCATTTTGCACCTGAAAACTGAAAACCTGAACTATATTAAAATCGAATATTTTTCGTAATTGTAAAGAACATATTGGATCACACTTTAGAATTTAAAATTATTAAAAAATATTTGTTATTATGATATTTTTCTCGATGCCGTCCTTACGAACAAAAAATTGTAAGGTTTTCCTATAGTCATGCTAATAAAATGGATAACAAATTCCCAAAGTTGACCAGTTCCCAGATTCTCATTAATGTGAACCACAAAAAATCGATTAGATATATAATATTTGTTTATTTAAAATGGGACATGATGACAATTGGAAAGAAGTGCCGACTATTGGCTAAAAGACTATGGTGAAACGTTAAGGGGACCCCCCATTCTCGGGGTCAACATTTTTTTTGATTTAATTAAAATGTAGACTAATTCAAGAATGTCCCTAAAAAATTTCAAGTGAAAATCTCAAGAACTCTTGGCGGGCATGATAACTCAAAAACTAATAACCCTATCGATTCCAAATTTTTACACGTTTCTCTGTGAGTGTATAGCTATCGTATGAACTAGGATAAAGCCAATCGGTGAAGATCTTCCTTATTTTTTAAAATTGGTTTTTGGTCAAAAATCGGTGATTTTCAAAAAATATTTTTTTTAAGGTTCCCCATTTTGTTAATTTTAGAGCGAAGTCAATAATCATAGTTCATACGAGAGCCAGACATGTACTCTTTCTAACACCGTTGGAATTTTATAATTCCGATGTTCCAGTGAGGAGTTATCATGCCCGCCATCAAAAATAAGGACTTTTCTTTAGATGGACCCATGTTTCCTTTTGAGAATATGCATAGAATCACTCTCTGAGTCCGTCCGTCCATGCATTTTTGTGAGCAAGGTACAGGTCGGAGTTATGATCCCAATTGGATGAAATTTGAAACAGGCCACTTATTTCGTCCAAGGACGAACCCTGTCGAAATTGGAGAATTTAGATATAGCTCCGACATATATTTCGTCTGATTTTATGTAAATGGTTCACCAAACTGTCAAGGTGGGTCCGATTGAGACAAAATTTTGCTCAAAGTGAAATCGGTTGTGATTCAGATATAGCTCCCATATACTTTTTTCAAATTTTATGTAAATGAGGCACCAAACTCCCAAAGATTGTCCGATTGAGACAACATTTTTTCAGAGCCATATGTGTGTAACATGCAAAAGGAATCGAGATAGATCAATGGTAATTTTTGGGAATATGCATAGAAACACTTCCCGAGTCCATTTAAGAGTGCCCTTCCGTATATATTTTCGTCCGATTTTAGGTAACTAGTGCACCAAAGATCCTATATATATATACCAAAGTCCCTATTTAGCGTAATGAATTGAGTCTAGAATGATGTGTGGTAAGTTTCTGGAAAATAGGTTCAGATTTCGATATAGTTCTAATATAAGAATGTGTATTCGTCCGATTTTACATAAATGGTGCACCAAACACCTAATGTTTGTCCGATTAACACGAAATTTTGCATAACGTATCCAATTGAGACGTTATTGCGTTTTGTTGGATGCAGCCATAGCTTGCATATGTATTTCGAACGGGTGCTTGATTGAAATTACATTTTTAACAGTACGGCGTACCGAATAGCGTGTATCAATTTTGCTATAAATCGCTTTCCATAAATTTGTGCCATGGTATGCAGACGACTCTATATCTGTCTGAATGAATTAAATTTATCATAGGTTGCAGATAGACATGAGCATGTTTCTTCGAGGGAACAGTGACATGTAATTGTAAGGATACATACATATGTTCAATATACCCAAAGTGGTGAAGGGTGTCATATAGTCGGCCCAGTCAGACTTTACTACTTTCCTTACTGGTTTTAAATTGATTTAGATATCATTTTTCCCATTTGTATCTAAAATTTGCACCAAATACCTTTCAATGTATCCAATTGCGCCTAGAATGATGCTTTGTTCACAGAGAATCAGATTTAAATATAGCTATTATGTATATTGTGCACTAAATAAGTAAATGTTGTCCGATTGAGATGAAATTTTGAACAACGCGCTGTGCTCCAAGGATATAAAGTTTTATTCAAATCGGTCTAGATTTATTCGTATAACTCTCATACATACTTTTCTTCGATTTCCTATCATTGTATTATTTTTTGTTTTTGGTATTCCTATAAAACAATATAAATTCCCTGTTGTAACCCAATACTTTTCTTTATACTATTGTATTTTATGTTGTTGTTGTTGCTTTGTTTTATTTGTAGGACATATTACACCCATGGTTTATACCATTAGTCAACGAAGACTTGTTCGATTATGCTCCTGTGGTTTCACGTAATTTAACCTTTAAATTACCTGATGATTTGCTAGACGAAATTGGAGAGGACGACACCCAAGTACGCCTGCAGATGACTAGCAATATTGAAAAGGATATAGCCATCAAAATGACATACAATCCTTTGATAATAAATGTAAAGACGGGAACATTGCTGGCAGCCGCCATTCTTTTGTTATTCTATTCGCTGCTGGTGTGGGAGGTAAGTAATGTCAGAAAGAAATGAATTTGCTCATGGTTAAGGACAATGAACGGAAAATTAAATTCTATGCTACTGTTTGTTGTTTTTTTCTTTTTATTTCCCATAGGTCTTTGAACGTACCTTTGTGGCCATTGTTTGTTCCACCTTATCCATTGCTGTGTTGGCCTGTTTCAATGACCGACCCAATATGGAAGAAGTTGTTAAATATATGGATATGGAGTTACTTACACTACTCTTCTGCATGATGATTTTAGTTGGTATCCTGACAGAGACAGGTGTATTCGATTATATTGCAGTGGTGGCATTTGAGATATCCCAAGGCAAAGTATGGCCCATGATTTACAGTCTGTGTCTAATGACTTGCTTTGTTTCGAGTTTTTTGGATAATATGACCACGGTGATTCTATTGACTCCCGTCGCCATACGTCTGTGTGAAGTAATGAGTTTGGATCCAGTGCCAGTGCTATTGGGTATTATTGTGCATGCAAATATTGGTGGTTCATTGACTCCCATTGGTGATCCCATTAGTATTATTATATGCTCTAATAATTTCATAGCATCAAATGTAAGATATCGCTGCAAACATAGGGGAATGGGGGTAAAACATATTATTATTTTTTCTTTTTATAATTTTTTTCATTTATTAGGGTGTAACATTTATGAAATTCGTTGAACACACCATACCCGGTGTCATCTTAACCGTCCTTCAAAGCTGCATTTATTTACGTTTGATATTCCGCAACATTGATTCGTTGCGTCTGAATGAACCGAAGGAAATTAAGGATTTACGTCGTGAAATTCGTGTTTGGCATAAGGCGGCGAAATCGATTTCTTCATTTTCAAAGGATGCCGATGTGGTGCGTGAAACATTGCTGAAGAAAGTTCGCATTTTGAAACATCAACTCAAACGGAAATTAGATGGTTTGGATACAACTGAAGCTTATGTCCATACATTAGAAGATTTGAAAATTAAGGTGAGTGTAAATTGTATAGAATATTTTCCGGACAATTTCTTAACACAGAGGACTTTTAACGATTACATGGGAAGTATTCTTGAAGGCGTATTTAAGACCGACTTTGTAAGGAGAAAACCTGACTCATATTGAAGACATAAATTCAATTTTTATAGGGACCGTTATTTCCCCATGTCCTATATGCTTATTTCTGTAAATTTACTGAAGGTGTTTTTACACATACATAGAAAGCCTGAGCCACATTTCAGATGCCAACTTTATTTGAATGACCTTCTGAAAGTTTTGTCTGAACAGAAGGACTTTGATGCATTTTTAACATATACGGCTCTTAGAGATTAAAGGAAACTTCAAAATATTCGTCGAAGTTCATTGACCGAATGAATTCCGATTTGAACCAAACTTTGCAAAACCTTTTACCTTTACCAATTCTTGACCAAGTTCGAACATGGGTCCCATTGGTCCACTCCTTCTTTTATTAAACATATACCTTATATAAAACGAATAATAAGACCTGTGTATAACTCCGAATATCTCCTCCGCATACCGTAGGGTGAGGGTATATATCTGTCGGCAACACTGACTGACACGTTTTTACTTGTTATAAGTATACGTTTTAATACGTGTCCTACGTCCGGATTTTTATTGGGTAAAAAACTACTTCGCATGTTATGTCCATGTTTTGACATAGCCTCCATATAAAGGTCCAGTAACATGTTAGCTACTCTCATGGTCCCAGGTCTATTTCCAACCAAAGTGGCTGTAATTTGGTATTCCGAGCTTTATGTGGGTACAAAATTTCTTTGCAGACAATTTTCAATGAAGGTTCATGTTTCGAAATAACCCTAATGTTTCAATCGATATGGATCAAAGGAGATAAAAAGACACTTGACAAAATGACGAATTCGAACATCGCAAAAACTGCACATAGAGATTAACCAGATAAATCGAAATTTAAAATTCACTGCCCTTAGTGAGGGTCTAGTACTATCTAATCCTCTTCTTTTCTATGGCTGAGGCTACAGGTTGAAATCCAACTCCCATCTCAATGCACGCAAAGTCTTGGCATGTATTCGATTCAAGTTTCCGGGATTGACACCAATAGGGCATCCTTCTTGAAAGGAAAATATTAATACAATTACACCATATCATGTCAGACCTTTAGAAAAAATCGATTGCTTGAATTTAATTACAGTAATTTCATTTAAAATTATTTCCCCTTATATTTCAGTATCCCATTAAAAATAAACTGTTGCTGGCTCAAGCATGCTGCGCCTTGGTATTTGTCATCATATGTTTCTTCATACAATCGGTACCACAATGGCGTACTCTACCCTTGGGATGGGTGGCACTATTGGGAGTAATTGCTCTGCTGATTATTCTAAATCGTGAGGATATGGAACATTTAATGCATCGCATCGAATGGACGACGTTACTATTCTTTGCCGCCATGTTTGTAATGATGGAATGTGTCGAACGTTTGGGTCTGTTCGCATGGATTGGTGAGGTTACCGAACATGTCATCTTGTATGTGGACAAAAAGAATCGTTTGGCCATGGCAATATTTATCATTTTATGGATGTCGGCATTGGCATCGGCAATTCTGGAGAGTATACCGGTAACGGCAATGATGGTTAAAGTTGTCGTATCATTGGTGGCTAAGGAAACATTGGGGTTGCCGTTGGAACCGTTGGTGTGGGCATTGGCCTTTGGTCCATGCTTGGGCGGTAAGTAAATTATACAAACTTATAATATTAATAGTTTTATGCCACACCATAATTGACCGTGGGATGATGGGTTATTTGTTATTTTGAATGCATATGACCTAAATGTTAATCGGAGAAACAATTTTTACAAGTGGACATCAATAGTCACCTACCCCAGTGTGTAGTCTCCACGTGTATACTTTTGTTTACCAAAAGAATGATGGATTCTTAGAAAATGTCCACATATTAGAAAGGAACACTTGTTTGCCTGTCCCACCTACTACACTCATCGGATTACTTAAATATTTCTTTAATTTCTTTTCAGGCAACGGCACTCTCTATGGAGCCTCAGCCAATGTATTGTCCGCTGGCATTGCCGAGCAACATGGCTATAAAATTTCATTTACCAGATATTTGAAGTAATTATTATTGATTTCCTCTTGATTGCAAACTTCCGATCAGTTTCATGGAAATTTTTGATTGATTTATTTTATTTTCATTTTTGTTTTTCTAGAATTGTCTTCCCCATGATGTTGGGTCAAATTTCAATTATCACCGGTTACTTATTTGTCTCGCATATCTTATTCGAGTGGCATTAAATGAGGACGACCCCATCCCGCCTCAAGACGTTTCCAGGAATTCAGCTGGCCTATGAATGTTTTTGTGTGATTTATGAAATACGAAGAAGTTGTAACTTTAAACAAATGACTTAATTTTTTTTTTATTGTAAATGTACTTACAAACGAAAGACAGAGAAGAGGGAAGAGATGAAGTGAAAGCAGAATCAAATGAATTTATTCGTATATGATGTTTATATTATTAAATGTGTTATTTATTACGATTAACTTTATTCTTATGTGTAATAAACGAATTTGAGAATTTAAAAAAAAATTGTTTTGGAATCAATTTACACTTTGAAATTAAAGAAAGTGAAGAGGTAAAAACATCGTAGAATTTCGCAGAACTTTTTATACCCTGATAAGGACATGCATATGGAAAATTGTTGCCGGAAGAAAACCAAATATCAAACTACAGACCCTCAGGTTGAAAAATTGAGCTAGGTGTACCTTTAACCTGATGACAATAAAAAATATCAAATTAAAGGCAAATCCAATTTAGTTTTGGTAGGAAAATGTTCTATTTACTGAGATTCCAAAGATTTCCTACCAATGAGAATTGAAAAATTCGATAGAAAAATGTTCCCAAAATCGTCAACATACCGAATATTGGGGATAAAGTTATATAAAGGCGTGAACCATTACCGTTATATGAAAACGTGGACCATTACCTATTTACAATACCTGTAGTATCCAGTATGGCTAGATTGTCCATTTTGACGCTTGTCCATTTTCAAGCTAAAATCAAATTTGCCAATTAAATACAGTAGTATACTGCAAAAAATATCCGACATTTCTTGCTCCTTTGACCCGCTAAATATTGACCGATCATCACAAAATCAGTCTTACCTATTCTATTGCCAGTCATAGAGAGACCAGACAATAATATCTTTGGGTTTCAATTTGATCCCTGAAATATTATCATTACCAAAAATTGGTTTCGTCGCTTGACAGAACCGAACTTACATGAACATTTCGTGGGTTCGTTTGATTTGTCCGATTGCGACGAAATTTTTTGTTGATTTAAATTGGTATCTATATTTAATTTAGTCCGATTCCATCTCAATGGCCTTTAAAAATGCTATGTCGTTTCTCTCAACAGGTACGTATAAGTACATCTGTATGTAGGAGAGGCTGGGGCACATTCGGCAATGTCGTTTTAATTGTATATAGGTATCGAATAACAAAATAAATAACTGTCGCAAAGTCTGAAATCTCTAGCTAATTAGCTTATTTAGACGCACGAATTCTTGTATTTTACAGTTTTTGTAATATTTCCATTCAATCTCGTAAGTATTTTGTGTATAAAACTTTTCAAAATTGAAAAAATATATAGAAAATACCTTCGGAGTAGATTCGGCATTTTAAAGTGCCGAATGACTTTGACTTTAAAAATAATGCTTTAATATGGTTCAAAATTACATATATAAGACCAAACAAAAACAAAACCTTTAGAGGATCTGAATTTTAATCAGAATGATAGCGGTGATAAATACCAGGCTATGACTATGGTGCCGAATGTGCCCCATCAAATGCCGAAGCCAACTCGGGCAAGGGCACATTCAACGAATTTGACATTTTTTACAAAACTGTAAAAATTTGTGATTAGTACTAATTTTTAATATATTTTTGGTACAAATAAAGTAAAACCTTTACAATCAGAGCTCCACTAAATTTTTAACATTGCAATTACAAATTCAAAATCATATTTGATGTTTCTTATTAAGGTGGGATGGTTTTATTTCAAGCATTTTCGATGATATTAGGATGGGGAAAAAGAAATCCATTATTTTTCGAAAGATGGCTGCAAAGATAGATTTCTCCTAAGGTATCAATCAAATAATTTCAGATTTATGCACGTTGGAAGAGTGACCTTTCGCAGTAAAAAATATTTTGCTCTTTTTTGTTTATTGCATTCAATTGTGAGTTACAGGGTGTTAAAAATCGAAGTGAACAAAGAGAAAATTCGGTATATTTTACACTTTTTCTTTGACAAAAGCGCAAAAGCAAGCCCAGCGGCTAAAATTGTGAATGGTGTTTATGGTTCCGATACTCTAACAGCCAATTATGTGCAATTTTGGTTTTGTAGATTCCGTTAGGGAATTTTTGTTATTTGGTGCGGTTTTCAACCGTACAATGGATTCTTATTGGGTACATCAACCACACACATGTCCTCGGTAACCTATGCCAAATTCCATTTTATTAGTGCAGATTTAGTGTAATTTTTGTGCAATGGGACGGAATTATGTTAATCGATTTCAACTATTATTTATGCCACAGAGCGCTGTTCAATATTAAATCTCAATTGGTCACCAGTTATTTTATATGGTGTACTGCTTAGGTTTGGTACACAATTTACTAAAAATCGGACGAAAATATATATGGGAGCTATGTCTAAATCTGAACCGATTTCAATAAATCTTGGCACACGCTTGTCTATCCTAACTTCGGTACGTTGTGCAAAATTCCGTGCAAATACGCTTAAATTTGACTCTTTAATACCCCATTTGCTTAAAATCGGACGATAATATATATGGAAGCAATATCTAAATCTGCACCAATTTCAATAGAACTTGGCACACGTTAGACTATTCTAACTTAAGTACGTTGTGCAAAATAGAACGAAAATATATAAAAATTTTGGTAAAGTTATGAGCCATTCAATATAGAGAAGAGGCTTAATTTATGTACAGTACTAAGTTGTGTATACAGTCCAAATTTTTTAAATCGCTGCGTATTCAAATTGTACGAATTCTGCTATCCGAATTATTTTTGATTCTTATAAAAATGAATATAGAGAATAATTTGAAATGCGTTTTTCTGTCGATTTTTTTTAATTTTTCCGAAAAATGTACTGTATCTCCTGAATGCAAGGATGTAGCGATGTCAAATTTTGTGCATATTCAATTTAGGATAGTTGCATTAAATCTGTGAAAAGAAATTTGTTCTAAGATTGCGGAAAAATCGGGGCTCAAAGGGTTAAAATGGACATGTGGCAGCTGTTTAACAACTCATCTAAGTCAAAAAACCTATCTGCCAATTCACTTTGGGCAGAATGAAATGTTTTAAGCTGCATAGGAAATAAAAATTGGCTCTTCCTTTATGTCAGATAGTTACTACAACAACAAAAACTCCTATTTAAAATATCGTAAATGATATATCAAATGTGACGACCTGTTCTTAAACATTTTTTGTGGCCACCAGACAGATAGGCGGATGTACTCGTAAATGTCGACTAATACTAATTCACTTACGTAACAATGTTGAACGTAAAAACGTCAATAATCCAACAACAAAAACGAATTAATATCCACTTTCAAATCTAATATTTGTAGAAGTGGATGATCGGATAAAGCCCTGACGCTAAAAATAGAATAGCATTGTACATACGAATAACAATTCCTCAGTGAATGAAAATTCCAAATGATGTTTGATGGCATAACCGAGGCATTTCCAAACATTTTTAATTAATTAACAAAAAATAGAAAACAAAAACCCCATCGAAAACTGAAGCCAAAATGTAGGTGGACAAGTGTGTGTTTGCATCCATCCCGACTGTTGTGTCGTCATATGCCACATGCCAGAACAAACACACACACAACACATCGCCCATGGAGGAGGTGCTGGTGGTGATGATGATGATGATGGCAATGGCAATATCGACGTCGATGCCGACGCCAATGATGATGTGGATGATCGACAATACACTTGGCATTGTGTCGTGCCTATAAGCATTAACTAGAACCATAACGACAGCAACAACAACAAATGACAAAAATGCATTATAAAATTTTATTTGAATATGTTTACTTGTTGTTGTATTTCTGAGTCCATACAAAGTAAATTAGTGGCTACAACGACAGCTAATAAATACGAAATCGCTAACGAAAATGAGGAAATACGAAAAATATATAAAATAACCTGACATAACAGGCACCGAATGAAAATCGATGTGTGGTCAATGGCAAGGAAATCGAGAAAATGTAGAGACTCAAAATTCTCTCATTCTGCCAGCTAGCCAGCCAGCGAGGCAGCATTGAAATGGAAAATTAAATCAAATAAAAGACGTCGTTGTCGTTGTCCACTTTGTATTGTTTATTTCCGCGGCTTAGCTGTTCATTTTCTTTTACTTTGCCGCTGGCCAAAATTGTGTGCATGTGAATGTGTGTATGGCTGTCTGTCTGTGTGATTGTATTTGATTTTAATATTAAAAATATCTGTTTTATTTTCGGAGACTTTTAGTATAAAAACAAAACAAAAACAGAGAATTTTGTTTGGAAATGAGAAATTGTGCGAAGGAAAAACAAAACTAAATAAATGAAGAAGGAAAATGTTGCTCTGAGACTACGACACGTCAATGAATGTTTTGTTGTAGAACTTTTGGGAAATTTAGATATAACCCAGAAAACAAAGTGGATGATGTGGATTTAGTGTTCCGGACTATATTATTGAATAATGGCTTTAATGATTTATATGGTGAATAATTTTCAATGCCTACCATGAAGTCTATCAATACCTACCAGTAGATTTAAATGGTCAATTCCATTACATATCTGTAAAAAAATCCTCATAGAGGAGGTTAACGCAGCAAAAAGTTCTAAGATAAATGACGTTTAAGAGCATTTGATCGTATGTCAACAATATTATGATTTAAATATTTATTTAATTTTGCTTTCCCAGATATTTTGCTTAAATGTCTTATAGAGAATGTCCTCCCGCGCATGTTATGTCCGCTCACTGGATCAACAGTTCCATGAGATAAGGTTAGGTTGAAAAGAGGGGTGGTTCACATAACCATATGTCCAATATTAGGACATACATTTAAACCTGTAGGCGACCTGTTGAGCGCTATAAAAAGGAAGAATGTTAGAAGTAGTCATCTTTGGATCCGATTGTCCCAAAACGTCTAAGAATTCTGTTTAGTTAGTGAAGTCTTTTCCATTCACATCCCCTTAGGTCGGTTATTTCACAAAAGGTGTAATT